CCTGACTCCTGTCCAAATGTCCCTATCTGTTATAAACGGTTCTTATGGCATAAAAAGGTGCAAGCATCATAAAATGCGACGCAAAATGGATCATCACGGTGCCGTGATTAGGCAGTAGGATTCCGCTAAATATACTAGGGGAACATAATTTTTGTAAGACTATCTTAAAAAAGAAAAAATATGATGACGCTTTTGCTACATCTCTTCCAAACGAGGATACAATTTCGATTTAGCAATTTATGAGAATTATATTGCTTATTTAAAAGTAGCTTCTGCGTGTTTTATAAAAACGAGACAATTCGGTTTTAATACTATAAGGTCCCTATTTTGAGGAAACACTTGAAATTATATCTACATAAAAAATAAAAAAAAAAAGGAAAACAAAAAAATATAAATATAGGGACGAACGTGTAAAGCATTTTCACGCGAACGTATAGAATACACATAGACATTAAGAACGGCCTATCGGTACTGCCCTTTTGCAAATAATTTCACCCAATTGATCGAAAATGAAGAACTTTGTATTTTCCATAGTACACATTGCGGGCCTATTTATTCTGTACTTGAGTTTGCAAAGCGGTCTGTACAATTGCAAGAACACAGGTAAAACAGGAAGTAATGCGCAGCGTAGTAGCACAAATCCCTCTGTTAATGATAATAGCCTTTCGACTGAATGGAGTGAAAAAGGTTACAATTTCATGGATCTAGTAAAAAATGGCTACTTAAAAAATAAGGGAGATTTAGATGAAGTGAAGGATTACTTAGCTGATGAGTTGGCTGGCAAAATAAAGGATAAATTAAATGACATTATAAAAGACGAAAAAATTTTTTATGATTTAGAAAATATAGACGATGAAGACATAAACGACTTTAAGAATTACTTGAAGGACATGTCCGAATATATTGGCTTGAAGGCTGCCGATATATTAAACAGTAGCTTGGAGGATTCCCTGGAGCCCTTTTTGTCCAAAAGCTCCTTCGCCAGTTTAAAAGAGGCCATGGGCAATAGCAGCTCTTTTGACATAAAATTTGACGACGAGGATGGAGAGGCAAAGGAGGGAGATTCCAATGATGAAAATACCAATAACGAAAATGCAAATGACCAAGATGTCGATGAAGCAACCGAAGATTTCATTAACGAGATGGTAGACTCATATGAAGACAAGCACCACAAGGAATTGGAACAGTATGCGCAAGAAATAAAAACTCATAATGGCCTAGATTAATGTGATCACCGGGATGGGGAAAACGTAGGCAACTCCATCGTCAACCGTCTTCTTTTTATTAATTTCATGTTTTTCCTTTTGCCACGTCAGTGCTCCATTTTGGAGAAAAGTTCGATGCTTCACAATTTTGCACCTGTTTTTATTTTTTTTTTATTTTTTTTCATTTACTCTTTAAATTAATTTGATGCAATTTTTTATATTTATCCATTTTTTATCTATGATTATGATTGTTGGACATCAATTTTAGTACACCCACTATTATAAGCCCCTTGTGCTTGGACGTGAAAATCCAAGTCACTACAACACTGTGATAACGCTCAAGTCGAATCCTTGTGCATTTATTTCATCTTCCCAGTGGGGTGTTTTTCGTCAGTATATGATCACGCAAGTGTGGTTTATTTCGCTCTTCAGTTTTCCGCTCACGTGCTGCACATTTTGTACGTCTCCTCGCCATTTATATTTTGTATAAGGTAGAAGGGGTAATTTTAACGGAGGGAAAAATGGTGTTTGTGTAGAAATATTCTCACTCAAACTGACACAGGTAAAAAGACAACTCACCTCACTTGAACGACGATGTGCAGGACATCGCCAACGATGAGGGGAAAATCCGCTCAAGGTGTATATGTGCACATGCCACAGTTTGAAGGGGCTGTTATAAATAAGGGAAGGACCCCAATTGTGTCGACCTCTTTATAAAAAAGGAACAGTTCATTCCAAATGTGTAGCGAAACATTTGCGCAAAGCTTAAGGTAGACACGTGTCCTTGAAGAAAAAAAAGTGACGCTGTCTTAAACGCGTTGGATATTAAATAGGAGCGCATACCAATTTAACCAAATTCTACCTGAACATGTGCGCACTTTATATTCATAATGTGAGCTGTGCTTCCTTTTATACACTAATGGAGAGGGACTATTTACCAAAAAGACCCCCTTCCCTTCCTCTACACATGATCACATCCCGATTTAAATTGAAATCGTCTTATAATTTGAGAAACAATTTTTTGTTAATTTTTAACATTCTTACGATGAACAAAAAAAAAATAAAATAAAATGGCGTAAAGTTGCATAAGAATGATATTGGGAGAAAAGGCATAATAAGAAAAAAAAAAAAAAAAAAACAGAGGCAAAATGTAGGGAGGTTGCAAAACAATAAACAAAAGCAAACACGTGGGAAAAGTGAAGAAAACAATCAGTTCTGCACCTTAAGGACATTAAGAATGTATTTAAGAACAGTTTGAACAAATATCGTAATTAAAATTTTGTATAAATTGTAAAAAGGCAAAAACCGGAAAAAGGCATGGTTTACAATGGCCGAGGCAATATTGTAAAAGAAAAAATAACATATGAAGTAAATTTTGTTATGTATTGCATGCTTATCCTCTAAACATTTGAGAGATCCAAATATTGGGAAAATAAAAAAGAAATAAGCAAAATATATTTTAAGGATAAAGGATGGGAAAATTAAAAGGGCAAGCTGTGGCATGTATATTAAGAGGTTAATAAAAATTTTTACATAAAATGGCAGCTGAACAGTGTCAACCACATTCTCCATAATGACTGACTTGAGACAGGTAAGGCTGAATTTAACTGTTTCGTTTAACTTCAACTTATCCTTTATTATCCTTGACAAATTAATTAGTATATTGCTTTTCTCGTTATATTGCGTATCTTGCTCTTCGTTTTTCTTCCCTTTCTTTTCTGCGCTTCCTAGTCTGACGTTGAATAAGGTGTATAAGACAAAATCAACTGTGCTGACTAACACACTCTTCAAAATGCGAACGACGATGGACGATTTGTAATCTTTTAGGAAGATAAATTCGTGCAACTTTTCGCTAACGTTCAGGCATATTAGGAACAGGGTAAAATACTCAAACATGAAGGAAGTTTTGTTATAATTGCGGAAAAAGAAAAAAAAGTTTAAAAATTTTAAAATGTTTATAAAGAGCCAATATTCTAGTAAAATGGGCACATCGTAGTGCGAGTGTCTGTTATCTTCCCCATATTTGGAATCCCCTACTGATTCGCCAATGCTGCTTTGCCTGCGATTGCTCGTGGGGCTGTCTCCTATGGACCCGTTGTTCGGGTTTTCGTTTGCGACTGATTTTCCGCTTCGGTCCTTCCTTCTGTAGCTAAAGCCAAAACTTTCCAGGCTGATGAGGGAGAACCTTTTCTTTTTTGGGGCGCTGGCGTTGTCAGCCTGCAGCTCGCCCGTTTTCAGTTCGGTTGTTGTGTGATCATTTTCTTTTTTAACATCATGCACATTTTCGTCTTCACCTGCGTTTTCTACTTTTTCCGTTTTTTCAACTTCATTCTCTTTTCCTGCTTCACCTGTTTTTTCACGTTCCTCTACTTGTTTAACTTCTTGCGTTTTTTCACGTTCGTCAGACTTTTCCTCTTCACCTGCTTTTTCACCTTCGTCCGCCTTTTCAACATGGTCTTCTTCCGCCAGCTCGCTGTCCCTCAGGCTGGAATACTGACTTAGGATATTATTAATATATTTGGAAGAATTCAATTTCTGTGTAACGTTATCCATAAGAAACTCGCTAATTTTTGACGGGTACACATATTTCAAAATGATAACCACAGAGTAGACGGAGGGCAGGGGGAAAAAAATTGAATAAATAAAAAACGAAATGAACGACATCGGTAGGGTTTTCACCAAAGTGACGTACAACAAGGAGCTCAACAAATACGGTAATATATTGAAAAGAAATTTATTAATTCTAAACACTTTCTTCAGCAAATATATGTAAGACTTGGAAATTTTATTTAAAATATATTTTATAACTCCAGAATAAGTCAGATATAGAAAAGTTAAAAACGTGCACAGCATGGTTATAACGTACTTCTTCGTTTTGTTGTCCAAATTCATATACATTATTTTTAGCTTCCGAAGGATCCAGTGTATATATGGCTCTAAAATTATGTACCATAAAAATAAAATTTTCAGCAAAGATATTAACAGTATTCCGTAGGCGTAAAGCATCTGATAACTGGAGCGCAAGAAGACAGTTAGGAAAACTTTAGAATTTTCAAAAAACTCTAAAAATAAAGAAATGATATGCTTGGTATTCTTTTCAATTTTCATTTCTCTGTATAAGGGTTGGAACATTCGCTTGAGTCCTTTCTTCATTCTGTTAATTCGTGTGCCTTTGTAATGTACAATTTTGTATTCATCCTGTTCGATACCACTACCGCTATAATCCACGGTGCAAACTTCTCCACTCAAGCTACACACATCCCTGCCTCCCCATGCAGGCCTGCCTCCTGCACCACCGGTATTTCCCCCCCCTTTATAGTACTCCCCATTCAATCTTTCATGTTTTACTCTCTTGTATACAACTAGGGCTATGCTAAATATGGATATTAGCAAAAATATCAGAGACTTTTTGAACATTTTTTCCTATACTGTGTGTTGTTTTGATTTATTTCTGGAGGGTGGTAAAAAGTGTGCAGCCTATTTTTATCCCTTAACAGTTCATTTTTTTTGAAGATTACGAATTTAACATGTATTATGCATGTAATGATATAGTGACACTCATCTGCTGTGTTTTGTTTCCCCCTTTCTTTTCTTTTTTTATCTTCATTTTTGTTATTTTGAGAATTGCTGGGTTTTCCGGGACGTACGCGCGCGTTTCGTTCTACAGCGGGTGTTTTCACTCCCGGTGTCTCAAAATTTAAACAAATTTCTGCAGACGCGAATGCAAACTCGTAGTGGCTCGAATGCTCAAACAAAGTAATTGCACAAGATTGGGAAGAAATAAAAAAAAAAAAAAATACATCTACAGTTTTCGTCAAGCCGTATATACAAGATGATGGCATATATGTATGTATATGTACACGACGTGCCCTGCCTGTGCTTCCACCTCGGATTAGGGCTTATTTGAGACAAGGTTTTGAATAGCGCAAAGTTCAAATTGACAAAACGTGCTTGCAAAATCGTAAGACGTACTAGAATACATAATTGCGGGTCTTTTTCTTTTCAACGCTCGCGCTGCAGATGAGGAAATTGCCGTAATTCGTTTGTAAAAACTGTGCTTCTCGGCTTGTATAGGTTAAGCATATAATTCTATGTTTGTACATAGAAAAGTTTTTTTATTTTTCTTCAGCTGTTTTTTGCCTTCTGCTATAACATACAATCTATACAAAAAAGTGGCGTTGTAATCGCTCATCACCAGGGAAGGAACTTCAAATGGATAAGTCCTTCCCTTCACAAGATAAGATGATAAGTCCCTTGTAGGTTGGGCTTGGCAAGGTTCTCCCAACAGTTGGAAAAAATAATACATACGACAGAAGCAATATCTGCAATATGTACAAAATATTCCGAACCGTATAAGTCCAATAACCTGTTTGCAGCATTAACGGGGGCTGGGGAATTATGTATTGTCAACCCTCGAACATAAAATTTTTTGTACTAAAAAAAAAAAACAGAAACAAATTTGTAATTGTATGGGATATTGTACATTTCGACTTGTTTTTTTGCGTGGCGTTGTTTTTTTTTTTTTTTTTTTTTCAAAATTGTCAAATTTTTTTGTATACGTATAAAAATTTACAGGTTCTTTCTTTCTTTTTCTTCCATTTGCATTACTTTTCCTTCCTTTTTTTTTTTTTTTTTAAAGCCATGTGCCAGTTTTTTTTTTTTCAGTTCCAAAAAATTATTTGGCAAAAGTACATTTGAAATATAAATATGCACATTATTGTTTCTGTACTTACGAGAACACGTATGTATGTACATTTGCGCTCTTAAGGGTTTTCCCAACTGCAAGACTAATACCGGCCATCCGCCCTACTTAGCCCTTTATATTATATGCGCGCTAGTGAGAAAATTCAGCGGGAAAAGAAGTGGCTGCACGGAAGATTGTAGGACTTTTCTGTTTGAAAAAGTTATTTAAGGAATAGGAGCCAACCAAACACACGTCACCCCTCATGTGGTAAGCAAAAACAAGTTAAAAACCTTTTGTCTGCTGAAATGACATATATATATATATATATATATATATATATTTTTTCGTTATAAATGAGGGGCAAATAAACACATGTTATAAAATGTACAAATATATTTTTTTATCACCGTCCGTTTTTGTTCTTCCAGAAAACGGAAAGCAAAACTTGTCGATACAGTTTGCACGTGACGTATTTTAGACGTTTTCACGTTGTTCATTTCTGAGCATGGATTTTTTATTTTTCAAAAATTTTAAGCTTTGTTTCATCCCAACATTACATTCACCTTCGGGGGAGCTGCTCTAGACTCTTTGCACAACGTATGTCATAGAATTTCCCCCGCTTTAAAATTATAAAATTGAGTTTAACCATTTTGCACATGTTCTCACAATTGTAGGCTCCGCTAATCATCTGTCCCTCAGTGGAACATTTGTATTTCACACGTATAAAACGGATCGCACACAAAAACAGAAGCAAACAAAAAAAAAAAAAAAAAAAACTCGTGCATGCAAACCCACGTTTTTTACACGCAGCGAAAGAAAAAATGATGAAACCTGAAGTAATCAACGTGAACGATGACAGCAAGGACTACTCTCGGTGGAAAATTATTTATCCCAATTATTTAAATAAAAAGAAAAAAGTCAAGGAAGGGAGAAAAATAAACCTGAATTATTGTGTAACGGACCCATCCGTTGACGAAATTGCATTGGCGTGTAAGGAATTGAATGTCCCATGTGTCGTGGAAAAAAATAAATACTATCCAAGGGATTGGCTCGTGGAAGGAAGGATACGTATAAAAATGCCGGACGCCGAAAGCAGCAACATATTTAGTAAATTTGCCTTAATGAAACAAATTGGGTTGAAATTGCAAACCATAAAGGCGAATGTGGAACCTACTGTTGCGGTTAATGCCAACAGTGCGGCTAAGAAAAAAAAAAAAAAAAAAAACAAAGAGTAAATTGGACGTGCATGAAGCTACATAGGAAGTGCGGATCATTTCACCTACATATAACATATCTCCCTTTGTATGTCAACTGAATCCCTAGGGGGATATACTTGTCCAGGTGACTAACCCATGATTCAATGATGCATCGGCTAAGTTGGACATTTTGTTTTTCACCAAATTCTGGTAAAAATTTCTTCCAGTGAACCTCACACTACGTGCCCTTCCAGGGGGGCCTCCAATTTGCTGCTCTTCCAATGAATTTTCTCCGTGTTGTGGCAGATATAGTGTGCGTGCAAGCTTGTGGTTTATCCTTCAACACAGGCCCACACGTACGTACAGCATGGCAAATATGACGGCTAATTTTTTTTTAGTTATACATGACAATCCACACATCATTTCAACTTTTGATTAGTAATTTTTTTGAGACTTTTTTTTTTTTTTTT